CTTTCGACGGATTAAGCGTAATTGATGAACAAACAGAAGAAACGCAAACAACAACGGAAAGCCCGATCGGATATGGAGGACCATCGTCGAGTAGGGGAAATAGCGGAAGTAGAAATTATTTACCCGGTTTGTACGATGATGATGATGACGTCGAGGGTACAACGTGCGGAATGACACATTTGGAAGAAGGCTACGGTCCTGGAATTTATAACAATCCGTTAAAATCTCCCGTTAAAAAAAAGGGATCTTGTTTATACGAGGATAACGTTTCACCGTATGCTCCAGGCGGAGGAAACTGGAACGCAAATTGTGAAAATTTCGAATCTCGTCCGGCTTCTCCCTACCCATACAACGGAATCCACCATCATCGTGATTCTTATCAGAAAAGATTTCAAGTTCTCCAGAATTTATCAATGGCTCAATCCTCTCCGAACAATCATCCCCTGTGCGATAACGAATGGATTTTCACGACAAATTCCCAACCACCCTCCGAGGATTTACATAATTACGTCGATGGAAAATCCGATGCCCCCCCAATAAAATCCAATTCACTTTATCATCCGTCATCATCATCAACAACAACATTCGGTTACGATAACATTTTCCAAGATCGTACGGGACCGGATGTTTTCGTGACCAACGGAATCCCATCGACGACGACGACGACGGATATCGAACAACAACAACAACAACAACATTTTCAATTATTACCAGAATCGAAAGAAAATTTTTCAACGTTGGAAGATTTAGATACGAAATTGGTAAGCATTATTATTATTATTATTATTATTATTATTATTATTATTATCCACCATTAAACACGACAAGGCTACTTGTCGGAGTTTTTAAGTATTTATCCGAGGTTTCTACCCGATTCCTTAGGGACAAATACTCGAATTTCGGTGGTGCCACTTATTATAAGATAGCACCACATCAATTCTTGAAAGTCTTCCTGAGTCCGTCTTTTTCGATGGGAACGATTTGTCTCCTGAACTGGGCTCCAGTGACTAACATCTTTGGAGTGGCCAGGGTCAGAAGCAGTGAAATTCACGTTCTCGTCGAGCTGCCTCAGGTCGACAGGAGAACAAGATTTGTTTTTTTGGTTCTTACTTTGTCTTGTTCTCATTTTTTTTTTTTTTTTTTTTTTTTTTTCTCTTTTAAGCCAACAGCACGTGGTGTTCTCAAACGGTCACCCATCCAAGTTTGCACCACGCCCGATGCTGCTTAACTTCGGTGATCGTACGGGAACCGGTGTGACCAGCACGCTATGGCCGTTGGCTTTTATTATTATTATTATTATTATTATTATTATTATTATTATTATTATTATTATTATTAATTTTTTTCCCCCTCCCGAAAATATCCCATTTCATTTTTTTAATTAACAAGAAATTTAATCAGTGCTGCCATATCATCCTCAAAAAAAAAAAAAAAAACAAACGAACGTCAATCATTTCCCTTTTTTTTTTTTTTTTTTAATTTATAAATTTAAAAATCGATATATCGATTTATCGATTTTTATAATTATTATTATTATTAACAATTACCAACCTGATAAAAGTCTTTCGACTCTCTCTCTCTCTCTCTCTCTCAAATAATTATTAATTATTACCTTTTAAAACCTTTTTCGTTTTTTTTTTTTCGGGTTACACGGGTAAAAGACCCCGCCATTTTGAATTTTACGTTAATTACTCTCTCTTCAATTTTCCTTAATAAATTTTAAAACGATGAGAAAACCTTTTGGGAAAGTTTTTTTTTTTTTTCACTAAAAATTTTCTAGAAAATTATTATTATTATTAATAACAATAATAATAATAATAATAATAATAAATGATCGCCCACTGATTTCCCAACGAAAAATATTTTTTATTTTTTTCCCATAGAATATTGATGAAGGTGAGAACAAACAAACAAACAAACAACAGAGTCAGTCAATAAAAGGTCATTTAATTAAATCTTTAATTTAAGCGAGAAGAGAGAGAGAGAGAGAGAAAGAGAGAGAGAGGAGGGGTGGGGGAAAGCAGACGACACAAAGAAATGTTTGATGTTCGTTTTTTTTTTAAATATGCGAATATTTAAATTTTATTTTTGACTCTTTCGCTTCGTTCGAATTTATTTCGTTTTCCTATACGAAAAGAGAGAGAGAGAGAGAGAGAGAGAGAGAGAGACGAAGCAATACTACCAACTTACGAAAAAAAAAATTTACAATTTAAATGGCGAGGGACGATCGATAATTTACGTTTAAAAAAAAAAAAAACAAATTTCGAAATCGTTCGAAAATAAGCAGAAGAAAAAAAAGTTTTTTCCCCTCTTCCTTCTCTCCCCCTCTCCCTCCCGCACTTCCATAAAACTTTAATTATTTATCAAGGCAACACGTAAACAATACGAATGTTAACGAAGCAGACGATTTTTTTCCCCTTTCCCCTCCATTGAAAACTTTCCTTTCAAATCTTCCAAACGTTAACTAAAAACTTCAAACTTTTTCAAGATTGACAAGATCGTGCCTGACTACCTTTGATCCTTTCTTAACATAACAAACAGTTATGACAAAAAAAACCTAATTTTGTCGTCGTCCATTTTGAAAAAAAAAAAAATTATTTCAACCGAAAAATAATTAACGACCACGTGACAAAAAAAAAAAAAAAAAAATTTAACAATAATCAATTCTCTTCTTTTTTGTAAAATTAGTCACGGTTTTGTTTTGAAAACAATCACTTTCGATCGATATACCTTTTTATTAATTGTATTCAAAAAGCAACAAACAACAACAAACAACAAACGGGTTAAAATATCGAGGGTCTTCTGCTGACCTTTTTTAAATAAGAATACCTTTTGATTAGATATGATTATGAAAGAAAAGAAACGGTTCAACAACCAAACAGGTTGTTGTTGTTGTCATACCCTCAAGCTCACATATTATTGATCATTATTTTCCTTTTTTGTTTGTACCAAAACAACAAACAACAAACAATACAAAGTTAATTGAGATTTACGATAATAACCGACGATTTTTTTTTTTTTTTAAAGGAAAACGTCAAAATAACCGAAACGATTGATAATAAAACAGCAACAACGATGACGAAATCAACAACGTCACGTGATGTGTCGTCATCATCATCATCGATTGTTCATCCAAAAGATTTTCACGAAATCGAAACGAGAGAAAAATTAACAACAATAAATGAATCCGCTTTTTGTGAAAATGACAAAGAAAAAATTTTTCACAACCGTGTCCGTCATTTAGTTTCGTGCCAAAATTCGTACGATAAAGACGGCGACGGCGACGACAAGGACGAGGACGACGACGACGACGACGACGAGAAAGAAATTCGCGAAATCATAGAGAAAAAAAAAACAAACGAAATGCAAACGCAAAACGACGGAAAATCGGGAAATTCGAAATATCAAACGAAATTAACGGTCACGTTAAAAACACCTTTTGTGAAACCGGAAATGAGGACGCCTTCTAAATTTTTAACTCCTCCTGCTCCTACTCCTACTCCTCCTCCCCTCGTACTGACAAATTTAACGAATCGAACGAGATACGGAATCAAACCTGAATTTTTCAATTCGAGATTTCAAACTTTTCCACATCCCGAATATCATCATCATCATCATCATCCGAATCCGAATCCGCGAATTTTTCCGCCTTGTATCAACGCAACGGATTGTTTAGTGAATCATTTTGCCGGAATACGAAATCACGGAAATATTAATAATAATAATAATATTAATAATAATAATTTATCCGGTTCCTTACCAAGATTACCCGGCCTGACATCAACGAAACCGGATATGATCGGTTTGAATAACAATTCTTACATTCCAATCACAGACTTGGATAAAGATTTGGGTGGTGAGTAATAATAATAATAATAATAATAATAATAATAATAATAATAATAATAATAATAATAATAATAATAATAACAACCCGAGAAATTTTAACGAGTAACGATTTGGGTACTAATAAATACCGATACCGATAACGGAGAGATTTATTTTTGCCGCTCGCGATTTGCAGCAAAATCAATTTGCCGCCATTTTAATAATAATAATAATAATTTTAGTTTGAATTTTTTTAATAAATTTCTTACACTTCCTGTTTTCTGGCTTTTATTCAAAAAAAATTAAAATTTTTTTTTTTTTTTTTTTATCTTTTCGACATTTTTATTTTTATTTTTTAAATTGTAAATGACGCGAGTTTTATATTTTTATTTTATTTATAATTGTTGTTGTTGCAATTGTCAATGACGTTCCGTCGCATAAACGTGTCAATTATTAAAAAAAAAAAAGACGTGGCACTAAAAAAAAAAATTAAATAAAAACGGAAATAAACCGAACGAGGAGTTCGCGTGCGTGCGTCCGTGCGTGTCTCGTTAAAAAATTTTTTTTTTGTCCCGACAAGGGATTCTTTCGTTTTTTTCTTATGATTAATTGCGGATGTGTTATCAGGTGAGGATGCTGCATTATCGGTATCTGGAACCCAACCGTTATCGAAACCTGTTAAAATTCCACCGGTACCTCCTCCCAGGACGTCGTCGTGCCAGTCGTCGAGACCAATCATTCCACCGCCTTTTTTAGGAATCAACAATAATAGAATGTATAGAAAAGGTATGCACGTCTCCAAAACGATTTGATTACGTCATCATCTAAACGGACTGATAATAATAATAATAATAATAATAATATTTTTCAGGAAAATTATCACGTGCGGGATCGGAAGAACAACAATCCGCGGGAGGAATGGATCCGACGTTTTACAACAACAACAACAACAACAATCCGTTGTTGTTATCTCAACCCATAGCGACATCCTCACCTACGATATCATTTCGCGCGACAAATTACCCTCAGAATAATAATAATAATTCGAGCTCTGATAATTTATGGATGTCGAGATATCACAAATCGAATTTTATTTGCGATCAATCATCGAACGAAGATATACCGAAGCAAAATTTGAAATATCGCCACGCGGAAGAACCGCAAAAATTAAATAAATCAATGAGTTCTCCGGCATTTGGAAATTTTCGCAGCGTGCGTAGAAAACAATGCGAAGGTTTCGCATCGAGCATGGAAAACGTTTTCGGACGTAAAACAACAACCCAACAGCAGCAGCAGCAGCAGACGACAACACAACCGACGACGGATTTCGGATTTGATTTCGACGTTGAAAAAAGAGATGAAAAAACTCATATTTCGAAAAATAATAATAATAATAATAATAATAATAATCACAACACGAGTAGTAATAACGTGAGCATGAGTTCTTCTTCCGGATTGGACGTACCCGTTGTTAAAAACGATAAGAGAAAAGGACGCGTGAGCATACAGTTTAAGAAAAAATCACGAGAACGCGATACCGGAAACAAACAACGATTGGATGACGACGACGTGAGCAGCAGCACCAACACCACCAGGGATAAAGAAAGTAAAAGAGGTGGGAGAGGCGCGGCGGCGACGACGACGATGACGTCACATCGAAAACATCAAACCACCTCATTTAAAAACGGTGATAAAATAAAAATAAAAAATAAAATGGACGAAACGGACGCGGCGACGATGAGTGACAGAGATGAGAGAACGAACAGTGTCAGCAGTAGAACGAGTAGTTTGGTCGCGGCAAGTGGCAGCAACAACAACGCGAGAAGAAAATTTAGCATATCGAGCAACAGAACTTATATAAACGATGATAAAATCCCGTGGTGCGGATGCTGGGGAAACGGATGCGTTTGACGTTCGTTTTTTATAATAATAATAAATTACATAAGATATTAATCAAATAAAAAAAAGAAAAACTTTTTCTCTCTCTCTCTGTCTTTGTCTTTTCCACAACCGGAAACCCTTTTTCGATAACAATAATAATACTCTCAATACCCATAACCGACAACCTTCCCCTCACCTTAATTAAATTAATAAGAAGGAAAAAAAACTTACGTAATGTATATGTTTACTCACGAAAATTAATTTTTCTTCTGCTTTTGCTATTATTCAATGACGTAAACAATGAATCGACTCACCTGAAAATTAGCAAAAAAAATAAATAAATAAATAAATTTAAACGTGAAAAAAAAACGAACGTTATTTATTAGTATTACCAACATAATAAAAAAAAAAAAAATTTTCGTCGACGGAAAAGAAGGGGGGAAGGGGAGAAGAGAGGGAGGGAAACGTTGCCAAATTTCAATAATTATATTATAACAAAGCTTAATTAACTCGATTAAAGAAGAAGAAGAAGACGACGATGGAGAAAAAGATCGAATGATGATGATGATGATGACGACGAGAGATCGGAAAAATGAAATTTATCAATCCGTGAGAGAAAAGGATAAAAAATGAGGAAAAGAGAAAGTCTATATAATAAATGATGGGATAAAAGTGAGATAAAAAAAAAAAAAGAGAGAAAAAGAGAGAAAAGGTGAAAAGCGAGAGAGAGAGAGAGAGATTGTCATTTGTTATAGTTGTCGCCATGGTAACAGATTAGCTTTTCCAAAGAGATAATTTTTCAAAGACTCAAATTAAGATCCCGTTACACACACACACACACACACACACGCACATATTTATTTATATTAAATATTGATTTTCCTCACCGTGGCACAAACATCTATCGATTTCCCGTTTTACCTTTGATGTCATAGAGTAAAAAAAACCACTCGTATTTATTAATATTAGGGGAAATGATAAAAAAAAAAAAAAATATTTAAAGTATTATCCCCCCACACGTCATGATATCCTTTCTTATTTTCCCCAAAATTTATTATTATTATTATCATCATCATCTTATGATTGAACGCCATTTTTTTTTTTCTATTTATTTACCGTTAACAATTTTCAACTTTTAAAGACATTCATCATCACCGTCGTCAATTAAACTACAATTATTATTATTATTTATACAATTTAATAATTAAATTAACACACAATGTTTTTTAAATGTTAAAATTAAACCTTATTACGGTCCTGATATATTATCATTATCATTATTATTTAAACGATAATTACAAATTAAAAAAAAAAAATAATACAAATTAAATTCATTTATTTAACGCGTGATAATAATAATAATAATGAGGATTTTCTGTTTCGTGAGAAAAACGACAAAACTCGACTTTCGCGTACCTGAATCGTGGAGGGAAAAGGGGAGGGGCGGAAAATGTGGAGGCGTGGAAATTTTCAACCGTTTTCGAAAAAAAAAAAAAAAAAATCTTTTGTCACTATTATTATTATTATTATTATTATTATTTTTTACTTGAAATTTTACCCCCTTTTTTTCAATCATTTTTCTTTTTTTCTTTTTTATATAAATAAATAAATAAAAGGAGGGAAAAAAAGGAAAGAAAAAAAAGGAAAAAGAAGAATTAAAAGGTTTCCTTTTGTGGTGAGTACGTAACGTGAGCCGGAGAGGGAAGAGGGGAGTGGGGGGAGGGGTGGAAAGGTGCGGTTTGATTTCGTTTGAAAAACGAAAGGTTACAAAAAAATATATTTAATAATTTTTCTAACTTCCTTTGACTCCTCCCCTTCCTCCTCCCTCTCCCACCCCCCGTTCGATTATTTCTAATAATGGCGTTCTAAAGAATTTTCAAAGGAAGTAAAAAAAAAAAAAATATTTTCCTTTTTTTTTCCCCATCCACCCTCGATTTCCTTTCTTCGACAGGAAGAAAGGAAAAAAGGGATGAATTGAGAGAAAAATCCACATCGGATTCTAAAATTAGTCTTTGAATTGTAAAAAAAAAAAAAAAAATCAATTTTAAATGCAAAATTTAATATTGTTTGACACGATCGTCGTCGTCGTCATCAAACGAAGGGGTGACAACATAACAAAAAAAAAAAAAAAAAATTTCCCCGAGTTTTTCCCCGAGTTTACAATTAAAAATAAAATCTTTCTTTCTATCCTTTTTTTTTTTTTCAACCGATTGAATTTTCATTTACTTTCTCTCTCTCTCTCTCTCTATTTTATTTTCTCCAGTTTTCCTTTTTATATAAAAGAAAAAAGTCAAAAACGAACAAACAAACAAAATCGAAATAATCTTTCATATAAAAAAATAAATAATTTTTTTTTTTCTCCAGAGTTTGAATGACTTTCGAAAAAAAAAACATTTATCAAAATATTTCTCCAGAGAAATCTTTTTTTTTTTTTTTTGGAACTCACGAATTAATCATTTTCTTTTATCCAGTAACTAAAAAAAAACCGGACATGATATCTTGTAAATATCAACAACAACAAAAAATTTTTTTTTCCTTTTTTTCTTCTCCATTTATTTTTGATTTATGTTTCGCACGCGCACGCGCACACACACCCCGGATTATTATTATTATCATTATTAACATTAAACAAAACCATTTCCAGATTCCAGCAAAAGAATAAAACAACAATAAAAATTTATCACATTACTCCCGTACAAACAAACAAACAAACCAACGAGAAAAACCGGGAAAATTATCATTATTTCTTCTCAACAACCTTTTTAAGAAACGGAAACGGAAGTACTCGTACAACAACCTACACGTGAAAATGTGTCAGTATAATAATAAACAAACGACGAGAAAAACAAACAAAATTTTTCCCTCATCGTAAATTAAACCGATAAATAACAACAACCGCGTCCTTCCTACCACCACCTCCTCCTCCGCCCCACCTCCAAATTTATTATTATTATTATTATTATTATTATCATTATCATCGACAATAATCGACGGTAACATTATTTGCAAAAATCTTTTTAAATAAATAATTAATAATAATAATAAAACAAACTTTGATACAAACGTATAATTTCACTTAAAAATTTTTTCTTTTTTTTTTTTTTTAAACAAGATGGCGCCCGAGGTTAAAATTTTATTACCGGAAAAATTAAGTAATAATACGTTAAAAAAAAACAAGTCGATACGATGATGATGATGATGATGATTATGATAAGGGTAACATTATTATACATCATACAATCATCAAAAATTATTTTATTACTTTTTGACTTTATAATAATAATAATAATAATAATAATAATAATAATAATAATAATAATATTTATATATATTTTATAAATTCCGCCATTTTGTTTTTTTTTTTACTCGAAAAAGAAAAGGAAGAAGAAGAAGAAGAAGAAGAATAAGGAAAAAAATTCTTATCAGTTTGGTTTTTTTTTTTTTTTTAAACAGGTGATGGATGATAAATTATTATTATGGTTTGTTTATTCTCCTCTCCCCTCTCTCCCTCCCCACCTCCCCACGCCAAATACCTGAAATCCCATCATTTATTATCATTATTATTATCATCGCGTACTGTTATTATAAAATGCCTTAAGAGGAAACGACTTGTGGAGTCCGATCCAATTACATCGTGGCAACAAAACAAAAACAAACAAAAAAAAATTTTTTTTAATGGGGGGAAAAAAAGGGGAACCGATAGTCGAACGAAACTTGAATCTATCGATTCATCGATCGATCGATCGATCGATTGATCGATAGATCGGGTTTCAGGTAAAAAAAAAAAAAAATTTATTAACATTTTAATTAATAGAAATCTTTTTTTTTTTTTTTTCGTGGCATTATTTATGTTCAAAGCAGAAGAAGAAAAGTGGGAGCAACTAAACGATTGCTCTTCTTATCGTTTCTCTCTCTCTCTCTCTTATTTATCGAACGTTAAAGAATTATATGATGATAATAATGATGAATTAATAAATAAAAAAAAAAAAAATAAAAATCGTGTCTGTGAATTTTAAAAACAAAATTTTAAGTGAGACTCTTAAAGTGAGTTTAAAATAAAAAAAAGACAAAAGATATTTTATTTTAAGAGAGAGAGAGAGAGAGAGAGGGGGGAAATATAAGAGACGACGACGACGACGACAAAACTCAATTAAAAATTTTTTTTTTTTAAATAAAATTTCTCGGAAAAAAGGACATTTTCTTTTACAAAATCCCTTTTGGAATAATATTTTTTTTTAAAAAATATTAAACGAGTCGTTCGATTTGTTCCAGAACCGGGAATTGAAAAAAACAACCATTTATGTACAAACACACTCGGCAGACATTTTGTTTTTTGTTTTTTTTTAATCATTTTAACGACCCGAGTTCAAATCCCGAACGCGACATTTTTTTTTTTTTTCGTTTTTAAATTTAATTTTTTTCTTTTTTCTTCTGTTCTTTGTTTGTTTGTTTTGTTTCCTTTTACAAAAAAAATACCATTAAAAAAAAAAAACAACAAAACAAAAAAACATAAATCATTGTTGTTATATCATTAAGGGAGGAGGTGGGGGGAAAAAACCAAAACATTGATGACGTATCAAAAATTTAAAAAATCGTGGAAAAGTTAGTTATGTGGAAAATAAAAAGTTAAGATAACACACACACAGAAAAAAAAAATCCCAAAGCGAGAATCCCGACACACAAAACCATTTTTAAAAATGTAATAAAATCCCCCTCTTGCCCCTCCCCCCCGAAAAAAAACAACAACAACGACGTGGAATTTTAACGTGGAAAATATAATTTGCTACCGCCACGATAAAATCCATTTTTTTAAAAAATAACGGTCGACGACGAGGACGAGGGATAATCAACTCACCCCTCCCCCTTCCCCACAACAACAACAACAAAATTCGCTCGTGACGTCATTCTAGATTTTAAAAATTATTATTATTATTTTTTATTAAAATCCAAAATTAAAAATTTATCCTATTTAAAAACGTCGTGTAATTAAAATTTATAAAAATTAATTAAATTCTCCTCCCCATATATTC